GTGGGAGCGATATCGCCCACTTTGGGAATCCCTGCGTTAGATGATGCTGAAGAGTTGAGGAACGCATTCAAATGGCATAACATCGACGGCAACTACTGTACTGCCAAGAATGTCCACGGGACATTTCAGTCCCATCCTATCCCATGGTATTCCCATTGGAATAAGATTCGATAAAAATTACTAAATTTGGGTTTAGCGTCTACTAAATATCACTACATGTACGTGTAAAACTACAGAGACGTGTGAAACAACAAAATTTATAGAATTTGTTAACCTTATATTCATAAATATTATACATGTATCCATCAGCCCCTTCACAAAGTATATTGTTAATGCTGAGTATATTTTGCTCTTTATAACTAACAAGAGAGCTATGCTCAAAAATATGGACACGAAGTCTATAACGAAATGTTTTACCGCAAACAGAGCGATACCGAGTTATACGGTTGAAATAAAATTTAATTTGCCCGTTAACGCAATATTTATTGCATTGTAGTTCGAGTTTACTTTATTATTCGAGTATGTGTTGTTGTCAAGTATCAATACCTGTAAAGGTTTTTGTACGTTTTTTTTTGTTACAAATTTTCGAGTTGTATTCTTGTTTTTCCGATTGGTAATTTCCATAATTTTTTATCGATATATTTGTTCAAACTAAAATCAGACTAATATCAAAATGAATAATGGGATAGAACAGAAATTTGCATTTTGAATATTGTTCAATTATTTAAAGCAGGTGTTGCCAAAATTGATTGACCGCGCGCCAAACTTTTAAGCAGAAGGACATGCTCGAGCCAGGATACAGGAGCGACAACACGGCTGGGGTTCAGCGCCCTAAGAAAAATCTGTGGATTTGGAACATTATGTGGTAGGGCAGAGGTCGGTAACCTTTTGTCGCTCGGGGGCTGAAATTAAGGGTTGCAAGTCATTGGCGGGCCGCACATATTTGCAGAAAATTAAAAACCGAACGGATGGTCGATAAATCAAACTTTTTTCACACAGATCAGGAGTTAAATTTTAAGCAGCGCGCGAAGGCTGCGCGAACTCGTGAACTCAACTTGGTCGACTTGCTTAAAGAAAAAAAAATTACATATGACATTTAATGTGGCACTTTTAGTTGCATCATGCTCCTCTAAATGGGACACTGGATGAAGCCAAGATTAAAACATTTCATTAATGGGAATCACTAATCCGAGTTCTCAGCTTGTTCTTTCTAATGTTCATGTCCAAAAATATTTGTTCGCATGTATATGTACTTCAAAACATCGATGTGAATTTTTTTCTCATGTTCTGTCGAATTTGGATAGAGTTTTCTATGAAGAACATGCTTTTCATATTAAAAATCAAGCAGTGATACATCTCCCAAATAGAATATTGATTTATTTCCTCGTTGTGCATCTCAAAAAATTCCATTTGAGTATTTTCTGCACCATTGAATCCTTTCCACTTACCATCAACTTTTCTGTGTACAATTAGTCTAATTATAGTTAAAGTATAGGCTCTTTAAATGAGTAATTGTGAATTATATACTTGTTAGGTTATAATATAATTTAGTCTACACTTGTCTTACAGTAAATTCTGTTTTATAAAGAATATAATCGTCAAAACAGCTGTTTTGTTACTATAATTCAATGAAGCCTCGCGGGCCGGATTATATTACTCCGTAGGTAGTATTGAGAAGGGCATTTAAATGGCGAAACATCGACGATAAATTTCTGTATCGTACAAAACGTACAATGATAAGCGTTTACAGCGTTGTTGTTACGTCACTAGGAATTCCGAATGCGCAAACGTAGCGATACCGAGTTGTACGATATTAATTGTTTTGATTGCATTGCAGCCTGTGTTTACTTTATTATTTCTTTATTCGAGTATGTGTAGTCAATACCTGTAAAGTATCTTTGTACGTATTTTTTACAATTTTACTGAATTCTTAGTTAGGCGGAAACATGTTTTTATAATTCAGTGCCTAATTTTAATTGTTTAGAATATATGCTGATGTTCTATTTTACTCCGTCCGACCAAATTGAATGCGGCCCCAGTATTGCCCATATAATTATTAGGGTTATTTAAACAAATGTATACCAGCGCTCATGTACCTCAAGAGGAGCGGCGTTTGTAAAAGCTACAATAAATAATTAAAATCCTTTAAATTAAAATACCTTCGCGTCATTTCATTTTAGACATCCATTGCGGTGCGGTGGAGAGCGTATTATTGGAAATCCTGGAGGCCGTTGCTTGACACTGTTGACAGTAGTAACAGAACACTAATTGTGCCATATTATCGCTGACCAACGTCAAATTGTGCAATTATGTATGATCCGAATATCGCCACACAGGACATGCTCTTGGCTGAATATTTAAAGCGCACATGCTGCTAGTTAGAACTACTCGAAGTTAAGGCCGTATGTGAGATTTGAACGATTTTAAGGAGGTGCATAAGATTTCAAACATAAATTTAAGGACAATTGGGTGAGCAATTCCGAATCAAAAAAACTCCCGTACTTTCAAAAATCTTAGCCTATTATATATCGTTATATATGACTCGATTCTTGTACATGGCCTTGTTCGAAGGGCCGGTTTTTGCACCGGGGGCCAAATATGTTGCCTACCTAGACTGGCGGGCGTGTAAGTGTGACGTAAAAGTACAGTTTATGAAAAATATTTACAGTGTTACAAAATCCTAAGTGAAAAACAATGAGCATGATGACAAAACTAAATATAATCGCAATCTCAACAACCTCCTTCACGCTATTTCATAGGTTAACATCGAAATTTGGTTTAGTTTGGTTGCGGCAGCATCAAGCGGGCCAGATTGAACTACCCAACGGGCCGGATTTGACCCACGGGCCGTAGTTTGCTCATCTTTGTCACTGGCTCCGATATGCGTTGTTTTTTCTGTTTTTATTTTGCTATCGTGTGTGTGTTATTTTTGCGTTAAATGAAAGTTCTAAAATATATTCATTGCACAAAATATGCGTGCCTACTGAATGCGGAAGGTAGTGTTCCTGGGATTTCAATTTTCGACTTGGTTGGCGAGAAAACGGAGATAAATTGGAAAGGGCCGGCGCCGTTTTCGTTGTTACCTTTGGGACGAAACTTCAATCCGGACTTTCAACGAAACGCACATTATTAGGGTGACAGGATAACCCGCGTGAAAACTTTCGTCCTGAATGATCCAGCCGTACAGACAGAGAATTAGGGGTACTCCGGTAGTAACTGTACCAGGTTAGGGTTTGGCCATAATTTTATTTCGATTTTCCTTATTTTTCTTTATAAGTCCTATTACGAGTTTGAGTACTGTCTGTGTTAGCCAAGTGAATATACCCCCTGCCCGTAAGATTCAGTCTTTTTACACAACTTGATGTAAAGTAGGCGAACAAATTTTTGAGTTTGTATACGAATTTTTCCGATTGGTAACTTTTCATGATTCAGTATCGATCTATTTGTTCAAATTAAAATAAAAACCAGACCGATATCAAAAAGAGTAATAGGATAAAACAGAGAGTTGCGTTTCAAATTTGAATCTATTATTACTTATAGTATGTTGATAGGTATTTGTCTGTATGTCTGTCTGTCTGTCTGTTAGATGCACGCGATATCTCACGAAAGCAAGATTGAATCTGCTCCAGATTTTGCATGTGCATTCATCATATGTCGGACCAGAAGCCCACTAATTTTGGATAAATTATATCGTATAATTAGCGAGTTATTAATTAATTAGTGATGAGACACAAGGTGTCACTATGGAGTAAGAGCGCTGTTTTGGGGGATCCCCTAATTCGATCGATAAGTCTTCGGTCTCTGACCGATTATATCGTTCAAACAAAGCATTGCTTGGTTCCATGCCTGAATGAGATTAGAGGAGGTTTTGTACTTTTCATGTTAAATTTGATTATGCCAGGGGTTGGGATTGTATTGCATTAACTTTAGAGTGAATATGTTTTAAAAAGTGATGTAAGCCGTAATTCTGTTTTTTCCTCTGTCTTGTGTTTACTGCCTTATGTAAAAACGAAAAAAGTTATGGAATTTTAACGTTCAGATTCAATATTTTTATTTCTTCATCTGTATACGGTACCCACTCATAGTTGAGTAGTAGAGGTTAGTTAGTTTGTGTGCTTGTTTAGAATTGAGCCTAGAACTCGGGTGCGCAACCTTTATTACAAGATACGTTATTTAGTTGTTGCCGGAACAAATAATTGTTTTGTTGCGAAGTTCTTACGACATAGGGTACTTTGCAGAAAAGGTGAGTTCAAACGAATGCATTTCTGAAGAAAACTGCTATTTAAATTGATTGTCACACCGTCTTTAAAAAAACGCAATAAGTTAGGGAATTTTAACGTTCAGTCTCTATATATATATTTCTCGCAAATGTTCCAAGTCTAATTACTACGCAAGCGCCCCTACGACGCCATGTTTGAATTTTTTCAAAGCATTTCGTAGTATCGCAGACAGAATGCATTGTTATAAATTTCGTCTCATTGACTTTAATTTTCCTATATTATTAATTGAACATGAGGAAATCCGCAAATGTAAATACATAACACCCTTTCGATTTTGAATCAAATTCATGTTAATAGAATGCTCAGAAACAGTTTTACCAATAGTTAAATATTTTGAATGAACACATTGAATGCATTAGGTATATCAAAGTTGTTTTCTACTAACTTGGTTATTGTCGGTTTATTTCAACGATATATCAAATTTCAACCAAAATATAATTTATTTGAAAACGTGATATGACACATAAACTGAATAATCTGAAATTGGTATTGAAAGTTTTGCCCGAATTGTTTCAAAAAGGATAACATTTCAGAATCTACCTATTTTTGTATGAAATTCAAGGCAGACACATGACTTCAGATTCGTTGAAGTGCGTTGCTGTTCTCGGCTCTTTTGTTTTAAAATAACATAACTTAAAAACTGTCATATGGTGTTGATGATGGACAATATCACAACTAAAAGCAATTTAACACCAAAAAATTTTGCATTTGACAGAAATCTTTTGCATAACTTAGATAGAAATTTGTACTACAAACAGCCGAGACTGTCATACTGTATTTCTCCAGGAAGAAAATTCTCCAGTGAGTACTCATTTATTTCATATGAACGTTTTTATCTTTATAGTATACATTGAATTGAATTCACTATAACAGTCCGTTAGTGACCACTGACCTAAAACAAAAACTAAAATTAATTCAGTTTATTTATTTCAATATTTATTATTTATTGTGTTCTTTTTATTTATTTGTCACCAAACTTTTAAAAAGCATTGAGTCACCGCAAACGACTTTTAGGCATCTCCGTTAAATTTATTTTTGTGGCCCATCAAACAAATGTCCAACCTTTATTTTCATTTGAATGAATAAGGGAATTCGCTAAGATATTTCATTAAATCCATTTTCCACATGGAGGCCAGGATAAAAAATGTTTTTCATTCATGTTTGTTTCTATCGATAGGTATAATGCTTATTAATATTCTAAAATATTCTCAGACCTTATAGGCGCTCTTTAAATTCTTCTCAAACTAAATATTGACTTTAATATAATCACAGAAATGGAGATGGAACGACGGGAAGATGTATTCTCAGAAGTAGCCAAAAAATTCCCAATGAGAGAATTCAAGAAATTTGCCAAATCTGAGATCGGTCTTGTCCTTGATCACAATGACGTCGTATCGATTATTGCGAGCAACAACTACGAATCAGACGAAGAACAAAAAGTTCAAATTCTTTATCATTGGGCAGAGAAAAATGGTTCGATATGAATGTTGCTTATAATATTCAAAAGTCCTTCTTTTATCAATCTTGTCAACTTTTTCACTGCTTGCTACAAAACGACATATTTTACACCTAAATTTTACAATATTGAAAATATCATACATTACAAAGTAACTTAGAATTGTGAACCCAATTACAAATGAGCATGTTGTTCGAAACCCTTCTGGAATTTCGCTAAATTGGAAAGCTCGATAAAATATTACTGTTTGGCAAATAACAATCTGTGAGATCATTACGAGGCCGTGTGAACATAAAAATCAAAATTCATTATTTCAGGCCATTTTTGAAACCCGTATCGAATATTATTGTTTTAATAACGTTTGCAGGAACAAGAGCAACAAATGAGAAGCTAAGACAACTTGTTACCGACTACTTCAAAATGGAGGAATCTTATGTACCTGGTGGGTACTTCGACTATAAGGACAGAAAAAAAACGAAAACCAGATTAATATTGTAATATTTGTCGGCTTATTTGAAATATTATTGGACAATTCTTGGAAAAGTTCACGAAAATCATATCACGACGACTCAATGCCGTGCACTAATTCGCGGTAGATCTAATTCTTATCACGGACACGCCAACCAAAATCTTTCATATATAGCAGGGAAGGCCAACACGTCTCGAGCAGTCGATCCCTCTGATGTTAAGTGAATTTGAAAAAATCCCCAGAAAATTGCCTTCAACCAATTGTTTTAAAACAGCAAGAATACAGTACTGTACATACATGCGCAACATTCAATATACACATACAGTATTTCAGTCTGCGCAATCCCGAAAAAGCATTTTAACAAATGTAAGTTTTGCCGCTGTCAAATATATCGTGTCTTGACTGACAAACGCTCCTACAACAACTTCTGCAGTATGCAAAAGTTATTGTCTCATTCCAAGAGTAGTGTCATGAATTTTATTCGCAATGGTAGCAGTGGCATCAAAATACCCATTTTTTCTAATTCCAAGCTAGCAAAGAATCGCACTTAGAGGAAATTGTAAATTAGATACTGAAGTTTGATCAGTCATGTAACATTCATGGTTTGTTTTTATTTTTTGATGTTTAGATAATACATGAATACTTGACAAAGTTTCTTTAAAGAATTTTCAACACTTACCTTATATCTGAATTGTATGACTTGAATAAATCTTAGATGAATGATGAAACATTTACTCCGGGTACAATTAAATATTCAAACCAACAACTTTCTCAAATCGAACATTGGCATCAGTGGACTTTTTTGGATGCTTGTGTGCGGTCAAAAGCAGGTTGGCCACCCGTGTTATATAGCATGCGTCACCAATATTTCTATGATTTAGTTATTGACAATTAATTACAATACAGCTTATTCTATTTTTTTTACTATTTTCCATTAGGCGAAAGACTTGAAGACGTTTTCCAGAAGATCGTAGAAAGATTTGCAAATATCGAACAGTTCAAACGTTTTGCTCGATCTAAGCGTGGTCTCTCACTAGATGGTAGCAAAGTTCGTTCAATTGACGAAGCTAATAGCTCGTCAGGAGACAAATGCATTGAAATGTTGCTGGCTTGGAAACTAAAAAGTGGTGAAAAAAATTTCTTTCTCATTTTTATGTTTCATAACTTATGAAAAAAAATTATAAAAAAAAGTATAAATTATTCATGGTTCTATTATTTCAGATTTTTTGAAGAGTCAAATTTATCGGCAAAAATAAAAAAATTGGTTGATGATTATTTTTCTGAAGAAGAATTTATGCCAGAAGGTGAGAATGACGTCATTGTTTTTTGACTCTGAATTTTTTTTTTCTGAAAATTCACTCAGTTGAAGTATAATTGCAAAATACTAATCAAATAACGAGGTTATATATCAAAATAAGAATAAGTATTCGCCTCTTATTCCATTTGCCTCTGAGTGCCATTTCTAGTTATATCTTTTCAAGTTACTTTCTTTGTAGTGTGTTGATTTTCTGAAGTATTTACTTGAGATACGTAGTTAAGTCGGCTAAAGAGATTGGAATCATATTATATCATTATATACTTTGACTCCTCTAGGTGCTGAAGGTTCGAGTCAAGCATCTACTAGTCAACAACGGACCCGAAATCAACAGAGTCAAGAATCCAATGATGATACTAGAAAGAAGTCTAGCACAAGAGACAATGACGAAACAGGTATTACATAATTGTTGTTAAGTTCTATCGCATACTTTGAATAATTGTCCAACTTAAACATAATTGTGAGGCGTACTAAACTTTGACAGTTGTTAGTTACTATTTTTTTTCTGTTTTCCTCTATTTAAAATTTTCCAAACTTGATTATTTGTGTTCAATTGCGATGTTCAAATAAATATATTATATATGTAATATTTAGGTCAAGACGGGCCAAGTCACGGTGATAGCGATGAAAAAGAAATAAAACAATCTCCCCAAGGCAAAAAGAATAACGCCCAAAAGAGCGAACAAAAACAAGTATGTATTTTGTATTTCATATTATATCACACTACGGCAAGTTATTTGAAGCTATTTCCAATACATTTTGACCCCTGAATAATTCCCGAATAAGTGAAGTCATTTTTTGTTTGTATTTTGTAATAAAAAAAAAATGACAAAATTATGTATGTTATGCGATATAGGTAAAACAACAGACACCCATGTCTGAATTTTTCACCCGAACCCGACAGGTGTTTGCGGCCTCGGTTTTCAAATTGATAGTTGATTTGTACGAAAATTATGTAAGCTTTCAAATAATATGCTCAAATATGTGAGAAGGAAAGTAAGGACTTGCTAGAATCATATTCGTAATTTAAAACTCAACAAACATTTATTTCAGGCTCTGGAGGTTTATTCGGCATTTTCAGAGCACGTGAGTATTGCGTTTTGAGTTTTACTAATAAATATGAAAGTAAATGTGCGTCAGGAAGGTTATATTGAGTGATATGGAAAGTTAATACTCATATATTTTAAATAAATTAGTTGTTGGGCTTCAAGATTTAATATAATATGCAGAATTATAGTTTAACTTAAACTCGAACACCTCGCCCTTTCTCTCAATAAATTGTTACTCATCCTTAGCTAACCCAGAACTTCAATTTTATACTATTACTTTTCAAACGCGCTACAAAAAATCAGAACACCATACACCTCTGTCAAAAAAATGTTATTTGAATCTATGTCAACCCATAATACCGCACCCATTAAACAAATGAATATTATAACCATCTTTCATTTGAAAAGTTTATTTTTAAATAAAAAACGATATGAGTTTCAACAAGAATCTGCGAGTTAATTTAGGTGTTGTTCCTTTAAATTAGATATTATTATACAGGACAGCAAAAATATTTATTTTATATCGAGGATACATTTATCTATTATACTTTTAGATGTGAATTTATTGTAAAAAAATTTCGAAGTTTAAAATAGGTTATGGTTACATTAAAAAATTGCGAAGAAAATTCAGAAATACAGATTAAACTAATTATTAATAGGTCAGCATGTATCGAAGTTTCAAAAGACCGTCTGCAAAAGAGCCTGGAAACAATCAATTGGACGAGTTACCGAAAAATACAAAGAACAAAAGCTCACGGAACCGACGTTTGAGGTATATCCGAAAATAAAAAGGATAACTCGTTTTTATCACGGAGAAATGGCACCGAAACAAACAGAATACAGAAAAGAAGCTGGGTTTAGTGCTCTGCAAGAACATGTCACTGAGGGGGTAGGAGTTTCATTGCAAGAACTGATTGAAACTTTCAATGATGAAACAGTACGACATATTGAACTTGTCGGTCAAGCAGGCGGCGGAAAAACCACCATGATGGATAGAATGGTCCGCGACGTGATCAGTTCTAGTGGCTTAACCTCTAAGTGGTATTCACCAACTGGCCTTTTCAAAAAGTTTTTTCAAGAATCGATTTAAACTTGTTTATTTGTCAATATTCGTGACCTTGTTGACTCCGACGCAATCAGTGCCCAAGACCTCCTGTTTGGCAACGTAATTACCGACTTGGATGGCAATACCATTGTCGATGGATATCAATGGGTCATCGATAATCAAGAAGATGTCATTTTCTTCTTTTGATGGATTGGATCAGGCACCGTGGACTCTTCAAGAATGCCACCAAAAAATAAAGCACGGCGAAAAAGCTAGCACAGCAACCGTGATGTCCAACGTAATTTCTGGCCATCTCTTCCCCAGAGTCAAAATTGTCATGTCTTCTCGGGAGCATTGCATTGCCCCACTAACTGGTAAACTTCGACTGATCTAATTTACGCTTTGACAGGGCTAAGTCCTGATGATGCAAAAGATCTATTCGTAGCCTTGCTTGGCGATATTGGTCAACAACAGTGGGATAAGACAAGCTCATCTGCCCCTCTTCTAATTCCGCTCTTTTCTGTTCCTGTTTTCTTGATGTTCAACGCCATCGTCCAGGCATACGATCTTGACAACACACCTGATACCATGACAGGTGTCATGCTGCATATCCTTCAAATTTTAATCGATCCGAGCATATACGCGAGAAGATAAAAATAGCAGAAATCCTTCATCAACTGCAGAAAATCGCATTCACTGGAACGAGTGAAAAACGCGTCGTATTTGAGAGTAAAGAATTGAAAGACAATGGCATCGACACGGAAACCATTCGGGACATTGTTATCAAAGTTCCAGGCAATTCAATGTTCAGGACAAATTTACTTGAACGGGCAATATCGTTTCTTCTTTAGTCACCAGACGATTCAAGAGATACTCGCTGCTCTTTACGTTTGTGAGATGAATTTACCAGAATTTGAAGATTTTGTGCATAACTCTCTTCATCGTGATCACTGGTCGGTAGTGCGAAGGTTTGTTTGTGGAAATCTACTCAACGACACTCTGGCGAAGGATGAATTCGGTCAATTACTTAAAAGTGAGTTTCTCTCATAAACTTAAGTTCATAAACTGTCAAGTTATGTCAGGATTTTTTACTACTTTTGGTATATTTTGACAACATCAACCCAAGCACCCAAATTTTGTACATGAGTGCATGAGTGTAAACGGATAGAAACTAAATTTATATCTTTTTTTGCAGTTGACCAAAAAAACGAAAAACGGGACATTTTGAGACGTAGCATTGACGAGAAACTCAAACAAACACAAGATTCGTTTTCTTTAATGGAAATGTTTGCCTCTCTATACGAAGCAAATGATGCTGATTTAATCAAGGATCACGTCAAAGTTATCAATTTCGAAACCACAACCATCAACCCCAGTGGAATGCTAGCGATTGCATCGGTCATGCGACGTAGCGAAAAGCTAGATCTCGTTCGTTTTTCCCGATGCAATCTGGATAGCGAGTCGATCGGAATATTGGGAAAGAATGTCGATAATACTCAGCTGGAGGTTTGTTTCGTTATGTTTATGCTCTCCCTAATTTGTCCATACAAATATTTTATTTTATTAATTAAGTTTTCTGCCAACCTTTAAGCAACGCATGTGGCGCTCGTATTTCTCCATAAAAAAATGGAACCATTAAGCCCACTAGTCTTGATTTAGCATTTTAAAATAAATGTATTTTCCAGATTTCAAGTTTTGAATTCATCCAAACAGAAGTCGAAATATCACGTGACGGAATGAAAGAATTGAGCTCTCTTCTGCAATCGTTTGCTGCTGCATCAGTCAATATTCATTGCTACTGCAGTGATGACGCTTTGCTGGCATTTGCAGATACTTACAAACGCGGAACGGTATTACAATTTTAAATTTTATATAATCAAAAGGATTTTCGTGCTCTCATAATGAAACGGAAAAATTGACACCGAGTAGTTGAGTAAACTTGCTAAATTTTTGACAATACCAAAGATAGATTGGAGCTTCAACATTCCTTAAATTATATAACCCCCAAACCTAGCAGTAAGATTAATATTTTCAGGATCATACTAAGCGTATTGGAGTTTTATATAATTGTGTGTTGTTTTTATATTTTGTTGAGAATGTTATAAGACAATTTCATGATTTGAGAATCAATGTTTTACATTTTCCTTCAGATCAACAGTTTTACTTGGAAGTCTTCAACCGGTATAAGCGCAAAGGTATTTGCTGGTATTTCTGCCTTTGTTGAATCTCATGTTGATAAGTTTGCGACAAATGTTGAAGTCGAATTTCATGAAGATGACATCGAAATCCTCAGTAAGAGTAATGGATCAAAAAAGGTATGCAAGCAAGTAATTATGAGAACCCTTCAACATACAATGCTTTATCTTGAATAGTATCTAGTGCAGGTTTAGTTATATAAATGACGTAGTTTTCATTGGAAAAAGCCCCTGTGATTTTGATAATGACAAATTATGGCCCATTTCTAAGAATGTTTTATCCCTATTTTCAACTTTTGTAGTTATTTTGCACGTTTTTGCGAGCTTTTTAATAGTTTTTCTCTGTTTTTGAATTAAACGGGCTTAGTTTAGGCAATTGTGATAAGGAGATTCTAAAAATGACAAATTAAGGCCCATTTCAAAAACCCTGGCATGTATTTTATCATAGTTTTCGAGAGCATTGAGCAAACGTCAGTTAAATCTCAATATTGAATTGTCATGGATATTTTGATAATTGATCATATCAAAACTGATGTTCAAAATGGCGAATACGGGTACTTTCTTGCTTATATACAAAGTTTATGACAAAATAGTGGAAGCTATAGTAAATCAGCTGAGATTCAAAAGTGTCAATTCAAATTTGAGCGTTTGAAGGCGCCATCACTTGAAAGCAAGAGCGAAGGTTTCCACACCCAGTTGTGAAGGGCCATTTCATGCTTCAATATAAACGATATTTCAATACTTCACACAGTAGATACTTTAAATGGATAGACATACTTCACTGTATATAAAATAAATATCTCATTTGGATAAGTGAAATGTATATTTGAGTATCCGTGGTTGAAGTACACGTTTCTGTTCGAAATGAAAGTGTGAGAACAATTCAAACAATATACATTGATGTGCAGTCGTATGCATAATTTGAATATGACTTGAACATTTCTAAGAGCCTAGCCAAACATTGCCATCTGATGAAACATGTAGAATATAAATATTTAGACCAAATGCCAACTCGCTATTTTGTAAACTATTCATAGATGGCGATTCATGAACTCAAGGTACGGGACAACATGTCAAATACTCTCTCCTATCAATTTGGCGATGTTTGTTCGATATACGACGTTTGGAATTGCAACTTTCGCTGGGTCCATTTAAAAGCAAGTCACTTGAGAATTTTCAAAAAACACGCTGGGAACAGCAAAGTGAGTAGATAAGCAATAATATTTGATCATCAACATATTTTCTGCATTATTTCATATCTTCATGCCTAAAACATTTCAGTTCAAAATGAATCAAACGCTGTGGCTCCAAGGTATTTTGTATACCAATTTACTTATAAATGGTGTCGAGTAATCAATTTAATGACTGCTCTTAATTGCTGAAAATATATCGCTTTC